CACATTTTCGTGCGTTTTCACTTGCAGTGCACGTGAGCGCTGTCCAAGGCTGTGGCGCTTTTCCAGCGGGCAGTGCAAGGCCGTCAACACAGATAGGAATGGCAATGGCCCCTGTGCTGGATGGAAGGAGTAAGGAAACCCCAGGCAGGAAGCAAGCCGATAAAGGGCCCAGACGTCATCATGAAGCTGTGAGCCTGAGGGAGCAGTCTGTCGAGATAAGGCCAAATAGCTCCATGGCAGACGATGAATTCCAGATGCGAATGCCCCATGAACACCCTTCCCACTGTGCCCCTGCAACACTGCTGATAAAGATTGCAGTGCTGTCTATGGTGCTCTTTGGTGCTGAGGTACAAGAGGCCCTTGGCAAGCCTCTGCAATGGTCGGAATTGAAGGATAAGAAGGAATTGAGGTCGTTGGCTGCCAGCGGAATCGCACTTGGAGCAACCCATATTTACGCTGACGACTTCTATGAGATCGACCCAGAAGAAACGATCAGCCCCATCGCAGTACACATTGTGGCAAATCTCCCGAGGAACACGATTCAGTCCTTTGAAGCAAAGTACAAACGTGTGTCAAATGGCGACATAGTGAGCGTGAAGGGCGTGACGCTGATTTGTTTTGCCCTCAAGTCCGAGGGACCAGACCCTGCGTTTCTCTACCGCAATTTGCCGTGGATGGAAGATTCCAGAGTCAGTTTGAACCGGACCGCCAACGGAAACGTGGAAATAGGGTCAGCAGGCAATAATGAGAATGGAAGTAACTGGTGCCTTCCGCTTGAATATATCGATGAATCAAACGAGACACGACGAGGTGCTGATAGAAGTTATGCGTATAAGTCCTCACCCAGTGACACCAGGCTCATCCCCTTTTTTCATCAGGTTCCTGGCTTTGGAGATGAAACGCTCTTCATAGCCGAAAAAACTGAAGGCAGCAAAGACGCTGGCGCGACTGAAGAAGCTGAAGACTCAACAGGCAGATGCTTCCTGTTCTCCGGTGAAGGCAAGAGAGGCGATCAAAGCACTAGGGTCATTGGAGGCAGCGGAGGGAGTGGGAAGGATGCAAGATTGCGATCGACAGTCATGCATGGAGAAGATCGCAAGATCGAAATCACCCAAGACTTGTTGCTGAGGGTGGATGGGGTGCACTTCCTAAATTCGACGGAATCACCTCGAAACCTGAGTGTTACTGAACTCTTGTCGAAGCCAGGTAGTGCTGTTGATGATGAATCTAGAACATTTGATTTGGCAGCAGAATGGGACGATGTTCAGGCTGGCAATTTCGCTTCATTCCATTGCTGGTCTAGGATTGAATATACTATGCCTAATGATCTCAAGGGCACTACAGATGTGCTTGGAGGGCGGTACCACAAGGAACGCTTTGATGTGCACACAGCTATTGGCATCCCATCCACAGTTACTCAGGTTCTTGATCGCAAGATGGTAGGTGACAGTGATGCTGTTTGCATATACAACAACATCGTCATGGATGCCAACAGATTTTTGTTTTTCAGCAATCCTGAGGATGGCTTCACTGTTGGAGCAAAAAAGAAGACTGAGCAGGCAGCAGCAGGAGCGGCAGTTGCAAAACGCAGCCTTTTGCAGGTTGAATTGAAGCTTCAAGGAATTGCTGACAGTAGTGAGATGGTCCACAAAGAGGAGTTGCGGAATACAGAATACCAATGTGTGCAAAATACGATTTTGCCAATGATGGCGAATAAAAGGCAGCAGAAGCGCATTGAGAAAGCGATATCCAACAGCGAGGCCATTGGAGAGAGATCAAGGCCAGATCCTGAGACCATCTTGAATGCTTTTGTTGCACTGATGGCTGCTGTTGTGGCAGCCATCACCACCGGCGACACTGTCGAGAAGCCACTGACTTATATGAGTAGAAAGTGGAGGAAGTTCCGGAAAGTAGCCGCAATCCTGTGGCACTGTAGGTCCAAATGGGGTGCAAATTCGCTTCGTGGTGGAAATAGCCAGCCAAGCGAGGCCGCAGTGCTGGGCCAGTCCAGACGGGATCTCATTTCGGTGCCTTCTGGTAGCAGTGATGAACTTGACCCTTCCAAGGAATATCCAGCTCTGGACAGAGCTGTCACCATACTCCTGCTTGCTCTGCTGATGGCATCTTTTGGTGCCCCCAACATTGTGTACTTGGTTGAGGAAGTGCGGTTGCATCGGTGGAAAGACATAACTGGTTTCATTAACAAAGTTGGAGCAGAAAGCACTTTGAAGGTGTCTGAGGGTTTCGGAAATGGGAATGAAGTCGTTGAGTACACATTGGACCTGGCATTGTTTGAGGTAGGGACAGTGACGAGAGTGGCGACAGAAACAAACATACCCTGGATGTCTGTCTTCGTCATCGTCTACTTGACCATAGTAGCTGCCCTTCTTGCAAAAAGGTACCGGAAGCTGGTCCATGAACAACAATTAGATTTGGAGAGGGGGGGCAAAAAGCTGGCAGGTTAAGAAGCCCGTGGCTCAAGGACTACTATGTACACAGGGATTTTGCGCATGTGATTGGACATTTCAGGATAAGGAAAGAACAGGCTCAATGAGGTGACGAAGGTGGTTTTTAGCCTTGAATGGCCTTGTCATGGGTATCAGTGGTGTGGTAGGGATTGGCGGGTTGGGGCGGGGTAGGGGCCTGAAACACTTAAAATTGAAAACATGGGTTGCTAATTTGTCACCAGAAGTTGCTAGTTGATAGTCTAGCGGTATATTCCTCCCTGCTGTACTTGCCTGGGGTCGAAGGGCAGATTAGACATTTCTACGTGAACACCATGAGCTCTTAAATGGCTCATTGTGGACGTTGTGGATATTGTGTGTTTTTGCATTCGAGCATGATTGCTGCATTGCCTGCTGTGTAATTCGCGGCTAAAACGTGGTAGCCGTTGTATTTCCAGTAACTGATCCGGCTGCGGCGACCGCAGGACCTGCGGCAATGTGCGTTTATGCACGCATACCGCATGGTTGAAAGCGCCTTCTAATGCAGGCTTGATCTTTACGGCATAAACACGCTCTGTTCGCAGCTATTTACGTGTGAAAATGATATTCACGTTTTTTTTATGTAACAACGTATGAAAAGCCGTAAATGCAGGCTCTGTGTACATCGAGACTCAGGAAGTCCAGGGAATGGTAGCCTCACGCGCTGGAGTGGGCAGAAAACGACCCCTTATCTGGCGGCGTCTTTGCCACTGCCTATGGCGACGTAGACGCTGTGTTGCATGCTTGAGGGGGCGAAAGACTGATCTGTGTTTGCGACTTCGTCATCTGAACCGGGTGCGCACCCAGTTCACAGTGCGCACCCACTTGCAGTGCGCTGAGGCATGCCTCAGCGCACCGGAAAGTACTTATTATAGCCACAAATCATTTGTTCTGTGTTTCCACGTGTCTACGCACAATAAAACAAACGTAAAAATGGCACCGTAAGCGCAAGAACCAGCCCCCCACACACACAGGTGGAAAAATGACGGCGATTTTGTCATTTCGCGCCATTTGAGTGAATAAGTGTTTCAAGTTATGCATGTGCCAACAGAGTGTCCCATCGCCTTGCGGATGCCAGTACATCCGTCGTCAGTTCAAGAGACCCACCATCGCTCATAGTGCTCGCATTGTTGCTGGCATCTGGAAATTCCCTGCCATGCTTCTGAAGGCGCACACCACACATGTGGACCCCTGTCCATTCAACTGTTCATTGGCTGTCCAGCAAATGTCAATGACACGATTCCAATAGCACCTCAGTGTGCATTTTGACAACTGTTGACAATTTTAGTTTTTCTTGCAGTTCCTGTACATAACAATTGCTCTCGATTCTTTGTGGGCACAGAGTCATTTTCCCAGCCTTCCAGGCTAAGCGATGCGGTCCATCTGGCCTCCTCGGAAAACACGGTCCAAGCTTGATGGTACACCATCTCAACGTGATCCTAACGGGATCTTGACACCTACATTGTTAATCCTGTATCAAATAACACGAGTTTACCACCAAATTGCATAACTCAACACAATCATAAGCTGTTTTACACAGGGCACTACTGCCGATTTCCCACCAGCACAAATGCCCGTCACAGTGCGCAAAAATTCAGTGAACAGACATATTAGGACTGTCAGTGCAAGTGCATCGTTCTTCCAAGTAAGCTGCATTGCATGTCTCAGTCTATGCGAGCACACATGTGTACTGTACTGCAAGCAGAGGGTCAACGGGGCAGAGGCTGCCGTGTGTCTTGAGGACACTGTCCCCACACTAGGAAAAACACGGCCAGATAACACAGTCTTGACACGGTCCGCTCAAAATATAACCGTGTACTTTCGGCAAATGTGGTCCCAAAAGTACTCAGTTAGTACACACATTGACACAGTTTCAACCGTGTACCCTCAAACAGCTGTGTAGACTACACGGTTTCCTAGGATGCACGGTTAAAACTGTGTCAATGTGTGTACTAAATGTGTACTTTTGGGACCACATTCGCCGAAAGTACACGGTTGGATTTTGAGCAGACCGTGTCAAGACTGTGTCATCTGGCCTGTTTTTTCCTAGTGCCATGAAACAGGAACCCAAGAACACGCGGCTTACCAACCTCGACTGCAACCACCCTGGACAGCATTAACAAAACTGCGCTGCAATGTTTTGGAAAAACGCACGTAAAAACCGCCCATGTCGCGGCACACAGTTGTCGCTCGCCTTGCAAAGGTGGAACTGCGTGCAATCCGCCTTGAGGGTACAGTTGATGTACCCCGAATCCCCAAACCGAGTCACCAAGATACTGTTGAGACCAAAGCATCCGCAGTCTCGGGACAGAGCACCGCAGAATCAATGGCATCAACCAGACCTTGGGCGTTGACTGGTTCGATACGAATTAAATGCACATGAAAGCTGAAAATGTTAAATGAATATGAAAGCTGAAAAACTCGGGAAAGGAGCAAAAGAAGGTCAAATGCAGGTTTGAGCAAGCAAGCCCAATCCTCGCGTGCTCGTCCCTTGTGTCCACCAAGTCGCCTCTGGGGATGGAGAGGGCGTGCGAGCGTGCGCGACAGGGCGACCTGCAGTACTTCCAGAACCTTCCGCCCGACGAGGTCTCTCGCCTGGTGGCGGCATCGGACGAGGACGGGCGGTCGCTGCTGCACGCGGCCGTTTCCGCCGGCCGGCTGGGGATGGTGCAGGAGCTGGTGGCGCGGGGCGCGCGGGAGAGCGTCAACCGCCAGGATGATGAGGTACTGCGCTGTGCAGACAGGTCAGTGGGGCAGGGCCCCGGGGGCCAAAGGCGGTGAATTGAATCCCTTTCCTGAAATTGATAATTGCCATTCAAAGACAGCGCGGGGGGCCATTGCGCCTTGCGGGCGATGAAGGCAGGAGGGGGCGGGAGGAGGCCGATCGGTGGGATCAATTTTTGAACTTGGGGGAATTGGGATGTCTGTTTGTGAGGAGACGTGGGCATTGATGCGTTGACGCTTGCTAAGCAGGGGGGCCAAGTCCGGGGGCGGGGCAGCTGGGTATTTTGGTTGCGATTTCGGAGTTTCGGAGAGGCGGGATGTTGCGGAAAAGATCGGTTGCTGACGAGAGGAAAAGCATGTCACAAAACGGGCCCCCCTGCGCAGGAATTTTGTGGGTTGTTTTCCATACATAGGGAGTGATGCAGAGTTCTGCAGACATGGAACTCAACAGGGAGCGAAATTGTGAGGAGCTCGCGTGTAGCCTCGTGCTTCTGGCAGGGGAAGCTTCAGTCTCTGTCCGCGATCCTTGGCGTTGAGGAGGATATCCGCACTGGGCATTCCTTCTGCTGCCCTTTTGCAGAATTGAAAATCAGGCTATTATTGTTCTTCCGGTTTGGCTGTGCGTTCAAAACTTCTGAATAAGATGAGTGGATTGCTTGGATATGGTGTGCCGATGTATGCACGCTTTGCTGCGGACTGGCAGGTCTACAGGAGTCATATCGCCAGTGTCATTCACCTGTGTGTTGCGGCAGAGAATGTTGTGCACAAACAGCTGGCATGGCGACAGCCAGTGTTGTACAGTATGCCAAGGCCTTTACACCTTTCCATGGTGACCATGCAAGGGCAGCCTGCTGTCATGTGATTGATGGAAAATCGGTCAGGAGATCAGTTGTTTGTTTGGAAAGTCCGCAAGAAGCGGGCATGACTGCCCCGAGCCACCCATGGTGCGCTCGCTGCCATTCTGACGTGCACATGGGCGTGTCTCCCAGTGTGACAGAAGTTAGCAGTCACACTGGTGCAGAGAATGAGTCTGGGCACGTTCACAAACAGTGCACCAAGTGGCAGTAGGGTCAAGTTTGTTGGAATCCTGCAGTTCAAGAAAGTGAAAGCATGTATCTGTTCTGTTTGGGTATGCACTACAGGCTGCAAAAGCATTCACTATGTTGCCCAGAGGTGATGAGACAGACTCAGGCACATGAAGGCCATGGACTTCAATGGTTGCTCAGATTTTAGTCAATCACATGCTTGTTTATTTGGTGCTCTTGCAGTAGAAGTCACGGCGCTGGCGGTAATGTTTGGCTAGCGTTGTGAGTATTGTGCTGTGTGTATGATCACCCAGGGATGGGCACCACTGCACACAGCTGTCAGCATCAACAATGTCCCGCTGGTGGAGTACTTGCTAGAGATGGGCGCAACAGTGGATGTGAAAAATGCAGGGAAGCGGGAGCCTATCCACTATGCGGTGAGACAGTCTAAAAGCTCTGTTCCTGGAGATCTTCCGGTGCGCAGAGTGACAGCTCCAGTTGCAAATGTTTGTGTCAATCCTTATCAATGCCTTTGTGAAAAAGGGTCAGTGCCATTTGCACCTGTGAACGGACTGTGCAAACTTTTGGCAGAGTCATTTGCCAGTTGGATGCTGGTCATCTGATCATCCATTCACTCGAAGTTATTGGGGTTGCAACTGCATTTACGATTAAAACATTTGCTGCCGATGTTTAGAACCTCTTGTGCACCTTGATCAGGCCAGCAAGGGTGGCCGTGAGCTGGTGGATGTGCTCCTGGCTAATGGCGCCACTGTGAATGTGCAAGATGCCACTGGCAGCACACCGCTACATCGCGCAGCAAGCGCTGGACGGCTGAAGGCCGCCCAAGCGCTCGTGGAGAAGGGCGCCCTGATCGATGCCCGAGATCGCACAGGAGCTACCCCCCTGTTCGTTGCTGTGACGTGCCAAAACGACAGCATCGCACTCTACCTGGCTGCACAAGGCGCTGACCTTGAGGTATCAGTGTGCCCAGATTGTCTTTTCAACGGAAAGGAAGACGGTACTGCTTGGGGCCCACATTTGCCTGAGCAAGTGTCTTGTGAACTCCTTTCCATCTTGTGCAAGATGATGAAGAGTCTCTATGCGCAGCTGCTATTGCACACAACCCAGAGCAATGTGTTGAGTGACACGGCCCTTAGGAGCTGCTCATGTGCGAAGAGATTCCAATTGAAATCGCTGGATGGAGCAGAAACTGCTCCACACGGTCTTGGGAGGTGCGATCTGGAACGTTGCTAACATGGCCACTGTCTTTGGGAGCCTTGGCTGAGTCAAATTGCTTTTGGGTAACAGTGTCGGGAAAAGAAAAACACGTCACATTGCCTTCCTGCCACGGGGGTGGGACCCGTGATTGGGGCCAAACGTTGAGAATAGCAGGTTTTTGGGGTTTGGTCAGTGGCAACTGTTCTGTGCAACCTGACGTGGGCACTGTCTTGGGATGTGGCAGTCTGGCAGTCAGGACTGTGACTGTGGCAGCCTGGCAGTCAGTTTCCCAGTTCGTTTGTCTCTCATCACGTGAAGATTTTGGTGGTGCGGATAGTGCACTGATGCAAATAAGTCCGTTTGGGAAATGTTAGGTGCAGGAAACTCAAGAGATTGTGTATGAGGCAACGTTGCTGGACCCCTTCTGCATTCTAGAAGGCCCTCCCCCCGCTCCTTCCATTTACTACGCTGATTCTGTGCTGTCTTCGCATTGTGCCAGCCGCTACAGAGGATATGAGTTGTTGATTCCAGGCTGTCCTTGTGCTTCCCAGGCCGAGACAAAAGATAAGCAGACCCCGCTGGGCTCTGCTGGCAAGTTGGCTCAAGTGCTGAGAGCTGCTGCCAATGGTGACATCGATGTCGACGACCTTTGAGAGTTGAGGCTGTCGTTTGTGGGTGTGCCCAGATGCAAGCATGTTCTTTCATCTGAGGGGTGGAGACACCTCCACCATGACAAAGACCTGAAGGATGTGTTCATGCTTTGGAACAATGGACGATAATGGGATCGTATGGATCAATCAATAAGGACTTTGAATGCGTGACGCTTCAACACCAAAGGCTCTGGTCATCAATGGCCAACTGGAACGCTGTGGAAACGGCAAGCATAATGTGTACCTGGATGATATGGATATATGGATGATATGGATATCATGTGTACATGGTGTATATGGATGATATGGATATATGGTTGATTGTTTGGATGAATGGCATCGATTGTGTGGATAGGAGTGTGCATGGTCATTTCTGTGCTGCACTGTGTTCGGTCTGACTGGCGTGTGCAGTGTGGACAGTTTCTGAGCTGACCCGGACTCTTTGCATCCTCGAGCTACCCATTATCACGCGCAAGAGCTCTGCTTGCCTTGCAAACGTGTCACAAGGAGGTCACGGTCCCTCCTGACCGAAGCGATTTGTAGCTCCCTCATCATGCACATCTGCGAAATCAAGCATCAAAGGAGGAACCAACCACCCATTACCATGCCAGCCGCCGTGGGAACTGGTGATAGGATCCGGCTGTGAAATTTCGAACCCGGATACTGCGATATTCACAAAGCCATGTACCCTCAGGATTACCCGGCTAATCTGCATTGCCAGAGTACTGCCAGTACCCATGAACGGGTGTGTAGCCGGGCACATGAAACATTCCCCCCCTCCCCCCCGCCCCGGTCTCTCCAGGGGTAGCTCCCCCCAACAGGACAGTGGTAGCCCAGTGGCGCAAATCCGCGTTTTTGACCGCGGTTGGTGTCCCATTTCGGGCAGGTTTAGACGCCAGAGCTGCAGCAGTATGAGGCAGTGCCGCCATGCCAGGCAGTGCTGCACAGCCGGCCACACCATCCCCCACAGAGGATCAGCAACCTTTGTGGCGCCGGTGCGACTCGCCTGCTCGACTGGCCATTGATTCCTGCGCTTGTTTTTCTTTCTTCTACTGTAAATTGTTCAACATTTCCGCATGAAAAAAAACATCACCGTTATGCTTTGGGCTCCGCAGATTTTTTCACAGCGTTATTTGATGTTCTGTGTTACTCCGCAAGGATTGTGTTTTCTTCTCTCCGGAGAAAAAGGCCAAGCGTTACGTTACCACGCAGAAGGGTGTAATGTTTGTCGGTGATGGGGATCTCAGAGGTGCCAAGGCCAAGGATGTCCATGTTTACGTTTACACCGGGGCCCTTAGGGGGCAAAGTGCTGCGCTGCGACAGCGCGAGTCATGCGGCAGCCCCAGCCTGCAGCTGCTCGAACAAAGACGCCGTTGGGTGGCAGGGATGCCGCTGGCCGCCCAAGCACAATGGAATCACTGAGTATATTGAGTAACAATGGTAGGTGATGGCGAGCAGACTCGGCCTTCCCTGATGCTGATGGCCCCCTCGCGTCAAATTTGAATCTCGCCCCGGAGAGGGTGCCCCGAAGTTCCTGCGTGACACCCCTCGTACTGGGTTGAAACTGTTAGGCTGGTGGCGTCATTCAGGTGCCGCCCAATGTTCCTGGCAGGCTCAGCGCGAGGGCACGCAGCCAAGAACGCAACAGCCTCAGCACACCCGGCGCTGAGGTAGCCCGGCGCTGAGAACAATCTGGAGCTGTGCCGGTGGATTCATACCCGTGTGAAGGCGGTTGCAACTTATGTGAATGTGAATTTGAACGTGAAGGTGAACAAGCCACATTGTGCCGCCTTCCGATGTGACCGGCCCCTGATCGGAGTGACACCAAATACTGCTGGTGCAAATGGCATCGAAGGACACGGCTAACTGCAACGATTCGGTATTATGTTATTTCGGATTCACCTGAAAACACACGTCATCAAATGTGTCGCCACGCCCCATTGTCCCATTAAATGCGGCGAGCTGGCGTGGAAATACACAATTTTCAAACGATGAACGCAGCATTGGAGCAGGCAACCTCTGCAGCTTTGGCTGTTGGCCATCTTTGAAGACACTTTGAAGTAGTGCTGTGCTGTTAGGTACTATCCGAGTCATCCTGGCATCGACATAAGGATTGGCGGGACGCGCGGTGGGTGACGGGGTCCAGCTCGGCGTTCAGCTGACATTGCGTCCCAAATTCGACACAGTGCCTTCCCTCACTGAAGTAAAGAATCATCGAACAATAACTAATATTCATGCCAATATCCACAAAAGTCAAACACGGCCAGACAATGTAAGAAAAGTTGTACTTTCTGCCGGTGCAAAAGTGAACTGTTTCAACTGGGGCTCTTCATTCTTGCACCACCTCTGGGCGCCCGTACGAGGGCGGCAAGAAGAGCTTTGTCAAGGGCATCGTGTTCTCTGGGGTTGCTGCTAAAATCACAAGACAATATGGAAGATGGGCACACCCTGCTGGGCTTTGTTGCAACCTGACAGATGCCACAACTGGGCACATGGACATCGAAGATGCTCGAAGGCCACGGAGGCTATTGTTTTGGGATGCACCCCATCACTCCTCTGGCAAAGCCGGAGACCACTCTGCCATGAGGGGCATTTGCATGGTGTGGCAGGAAGGACATGTGTGTCGGATATCGTGCATCAATCAGTTTAACATCTTGTTGCGAGTCATTATGCATTGATTGCAGTTAGCCTGAGCTGCGCCCGAGGTGTTGGGGGCATGAATGGTTGATTGAATGGATGGTGCGGATGGCAATTCAAATGAAATGCCAACGAATCAGCAACTATGACTCCCTGTGAGCTTCCATGCTCTCCAACGCCATTGGCCTGCAGCCAAGTACGATGTGGGCACTAATTGACCTGAGATGTCATTGCTTTCGTTACATATGGTGCACCATGTAATGTGTGAATTACATTTCTATTTTGTGGAGAAATAAACTGGGTCATACAAAGAGCGCACACCAGCCAACCAACCCATTTTGACTATGTGATCCCAAGCTGCAGGGATAAATGTGCAGATGACTCTTGAGCTGAACGACATGTTAAATGTGCAGCCATTGAGTCCCCAAGGAGATGTCTTTCACAAGTTGACCCCTTCATTCACATCCCAGCTCATTAGCAGCAGAAACATAGCTGCTTCTCCTACAAGACCCATACAAACTGCTACTCTGCCCAGAAACCTCACCCACTGATCCCCCCCTCTTTGCATAAATGAAATGGTGTTTCAAACCAATTGTCAGGTGCCTCGAATGAGATGCCCATATTGGCCCACCACCACGACTCCAGCACACCAGGCGGCGGGCATGGCGCTTCGAGTCCCTTTCGCGCAGCCCCTCTCGCCACCTCCTGGGTATCCATCCATCCATCCACGCCGTCCCACCTTTGCGCAACCCATCAGGCCGAGCCCACCCACCCACCCACACAGGTGCAGCGCGTCCCCACGCTCGCCAAAAAGGCCGTCAACTCGGATTCAAAAACTGAAAGCACTTCAAAGCATTTTCGATTTTCATCCTAAGGACCTTCAGCGGCATCTTGGCCATCCGGCGCCCTCAGGGCCTCCAGCGCGTCCAGCTCCGGGTCGTCCACCTCCGCCCGCCGCGTGCGGCTGCACAGGACGGCGCGCCCCTCGTTCGCGTACACGATCCACGTCTCGTTCTCCGCGAAACCCACCCCGCAGAGACTGCCCTGACTCTGTGTCTCCACAGTGACGATCTCGCCGTCCGCGGCCCCCACGAATCCTCTCAGCACGTCGATCGTCGCGTTCACGGTGGCCCCGGGGTCGAATGCCTGGCTGAGGCGATCGCAGGCATCGCAGGGCGACAGCGCGGTGACGTTGCCGAAGACGACGAGCTCGGAGGCGGCTGCGGCGTCCAGGGGAGGCGGCGGCGGAGCGCAGCTGCATGCGCCGGCCAGGCTGGGGAGGGCGGCGGCCAGGGCGGCCAGGAGCAGGAGGGCGGGCGCGGGCGGCATCGACGCCGAAATGTCTTGGCGTGCCCGAACAGGGAGCCTTCCTCGCCCCGAGGGCGATGGGGAGAGGGCTTTTGTCTTGAACGGGTGTGCCCAGTGAGGTGAAGTGTGGTGGAATTCCCAACGAGGTTCCCAACGAGTAAGGGTGAGGACACGCATGAGACCGTACGAGGGGTGACAGATGGACACGCAACCGGGGGGGCATCATGCCAGATTCCTGACGAGGGCGGGAAGCTGCGACATCACTGCGATGTCTTGCCATCGGTGGGGCCGCGCTCACCGCGGATCGCCTCGAAATTCAGCTGCTGGCCAACGGGAGGCAGTCCGATGGAAGCCGGGCTCGGAGGCAGGGCGCGTGGGACGCTGACGAGCGCAGCCTCCCCGTACGGATCGCTATCTCGGTGCGGTTGTGCAGAATTGTCCCAACACCGATTGCCCAATTCCCGTCGACATGCACTGATCTCAGCGCACGGGTTTTGCCTGTGTGACAACGGGTTGGCTGAAAACGTCGCGCGAATCTCCAGCTTCCATCTGAGGCCTGAGATCGTCTTTGCCAGCCTGCTCGCCCTCGCCCCAACTCGCCGCCATTTTGCATTCATGGCCATTCCCTCGTCCATTGTGCGGAGGCTTGGTTTTTACGTTTACATTTATGTTTTGTCTTTTACGTTTTTACGCATAAAAACGTAAATTTGCAAAAAGGCCTATTGTTGTGGCTATTTTTACGTTTTAACGGCTCCCTGGGACACCCAGGTTACTCGATTGGTGGCAGCGAGTGGCAGGAATTGGCATCGATTGGGCATCACGAGAATGGGGGCCAAATGGGCGCCCACACCCACCATCTCCACAATGCCTTGAATGGGCCCCCATGCTTGTAGGTGTGGTGCCTCTTGCACGCCAATTCCCGCCACTAACGGTTGCCAATCAAGGCCGTCAGGGGCAGGGAGTGGGGCCCAAGCTTCACCCGATGACCCGTTGAACCCCCCAATGCAGCGAAGCGGGAAAGGGTGGGTGGGTGGGGCGCGCCACTCCCACGCCTCCAT